ATCTTCAGAAGAGCAGCTGGCAAGCGGGTGATAGTTTCTTGCAGTGTGAGTTATTGCTCATCTGGTAACAGAGCGGAGAGCATTAAAAAAAAAATATCTGTTTCCCGTGGGGATTTTATCTGGCCATCATTCAGATATTTAAAGCCACTCAGGCTCAGATTTTTGCCTGCCTACTTCAAGGAGGGTGACCATGTTCCCTTTGGCCCTGGGGACCTAATCCTGAATCCTGGCCTGGAGCAAAGGCATAGCTTGCCTGGTGCCCTGTGTGTAACAGCTGCCAGGAGCAGGTGCTCAGGGGCTGTAAATAACCCATCAGAGCAAACACTTGCTCCATTCTCTTGGATGCCCCCACAGCAGCTATGGGCAGTGGAATGGGTGAGTGTGAAGGGTCTTGAGCACCATGTGCCACTTCAGGAGATGAGCACAGTTTCCTCTGATGCTATTTTGCATCCAGCTGATGAATCAGTCCAGAGTCCTTTGTTTGTCTTGGGATTAAGATACCAAGCCCAGACCCAGGGCATTGCCTGCCTCTCCTGGCCCAGCAGCCTGCATCCCTATGCTCCCACTGGGGAGAAAGAGCTCCCTGTTCCAGCAGCAGCTCCCGGTACCAGAGCTGATATTTGATCTCAGATTAGTCATCCAGTTCACAGGAGGCAGATCTTGAATATATGTTCTCTGCTCTGAAGCCATCTGTCATCACTTGCTTTCACATCCCTTCTGAGCACTTTCACGGAAGGGAGGTGACTTACCTGGGACTAGGAGAGCCATTGCCAAGTGCACCATGAGGGTGAATGACCGGAGCACTGAACCCTGATGCTGGCATGTCCTGGCAGCTGTGGTGGTGTTATGGGGACTGATGGTGCTCTGAGGGCTTGGTACAGAGCACCCCAAGCTGGGGTGGGGAAATAATCTACATGGCACGACCTGGAAGCACCAGCAAAGCTGGCGGGGGCATTGCTTCCCTGAGGCTTCTCCTAAACATCAGTCCTGGGCTCAGGGGGTGTTAAATGAGCAGAGTGGGCAGGTATCAGTCAGGAGCTTTGCTCTGACAGCATTCCTGTGCCCTCCTGGAGATGGGAAGAGGGACCACCACCCCATGGTGGCCATTCCCAGGTGGCACCAACAAGTTACAATGGTTGTTCATCACCAGCAACACTTCAAGGACATCTAGCTCTGTGTTTTGAAGTGGATTCGGGGAGGGCAGGTGGCTGTGAGCTGTGTCTGTGTGTGCCTGCGGGGAAGGAGGTTTCGGTTCGTGCTGGTTTGTGTGAGGAGCCCGATGCTGTTCCTGTTGGAGAGCTAAGACAGGCTTCACTCCCCGACCTGCTCCAGGAGCGGTTTCGTTGACGCCTGCTGTCTCACCCGGGCGCGCTGCCAGCTCCCGCACGCAGGCAGCTCGCTGAAGGTCATGCTGCTGCCAGCAGATGTGCCTGGGTGGGCAGGACATCTCTGTAGCTCCTGTGCCAGGCTGGGGAAATAGGCTGCAGGGAAGAAGCTAATGCTCAAGCAATCCCTGCTGTTACCAAGGTGTCCCCAGGACGGCCCCAGCCGTGTCTCCCAGACCTGGGGAGGGGGAGGAAGCCAAGTAGCTTACTCCGAAACATGCAGGGTGATAGAGCTGCTGTTTTGGAGGTCTGTGCTGTCCTCGCCCCCCACCTCTTCCCAGCAGCCTCGCACAGATCACGTACCTTTTTACCGCTCGTCGTTATCATCTTCATCAATAATTAAGCTGCGAGTCCCTGGCTGTTGGCTGCGCCAGGAAGCGGAGGCCGGGTGCGCTCCCTGCGCTCAGCAAAAACCTGTCCCCGCGCGCGCGCTCGCTTAATTGCTTGTGACACTGTTAAATATGGATCTTGGTGGCTTTCCAAGGGCACCCCGGCAGAAGTGCTGTACAAAGGAACCATTACCAGGGTAATCAGAGAAGACAGCCCCAGCAAAGCAGAGAAGGCGAGGGAGGATGCCGTGCCCAAAGGACATGTCATCTACGAAGGGAAGAAAGGCCACGTGCTGTCCTACGAGGGTAAGTCCTAATCCTCTGCCTTTTTAGGGCAGGCATTGGGAGTTTGCTCTGCTGTGGCTGGGAGTTGGGAGGTATTTGAGGAAAGGCTGACAAAGTGCAACTGGCCAGCCTTGTGTCTTTGCTTGCAGCATCATTTCTCTCCCTTCCCACCCCATCCTGGCTGAGTGTCCCTTTGTCCCGTGTGGTTATCTTGCCTGGGAGATGGCTTTGCTGGCAGGCAAGGGTGCAGTAGGAGAGCATCCCCAAACTCTTAGGCCAAGGCAGACTCAAAAACCTGTGAAGTGGAGGCAAGTCAGGTAGTTCAGTATAAGGGTTTATTCAGACACCAAATTCTCACCTGCAAAGCCTTGGGTACTGTGCAGATTTTCCAGCATGCTGCCCTGCAGGAATTTTCCTGGGCCCAGCAGCACTGTGCTTCACTATCTGGTGAGGTTTGCTAGAGCTATTGGAGAGAGTGAAGCCATTCCTGCAATCCACAAGGAGCTGTCTGGGGATGTGTTGGCCTGTTGCCACTCCCCCACGGCACGGTAAGGTGCTTCCTCGGTAAATGCCGGCGGTGCCTCGCTGCGTTGGGGTGTCAGCAGGTGGTCACCAGCTGCTCCTGCCTCCTCTGTGCCTGCTCAGCCCATTGCAGCACTGGCCATCAGAGCTGCTCTGTGCATCCTGGTGCCTCCCATTGGAGATCAGCAGATGTTTCTCTCCACTGAGGCTGGAAACAAGTCCTCCGTGCTTTCCTTCACCGTGTGCTGGGTCAGGCATCTCTGGTGTGGAGCCAGGCCCCTCCTGGCCCACAGCTGGGCTCAGGAAGAGCCAAGTTACAGCCCCACATCTCTTGGGGTAAAATATTGGTGTGTGCTCCTGTGTGCACAGGGACAGCCGTCCTCATGTGTCACCTCTCAGTTGAGTTTGGAGATGACTAAGGAGCAGTTCCAAACCTCAGTTGCCTCAGCAGGTGTCTCTGGCCAACTGCCCTGCTACCTGAACCCTCTGCCTCCCTGCCCAAGGTGGCTACATCCGTCCCTGGGGCAGAGCATCCCTTCCAGCCTGCCTGTCAGTCCTGCAGGCAGAGTGTGTCTCACAGGAGTCCCTTTCCTCTTGCCCACAAGTGCAGGCAGCTGGTTCCATTGCAGGCTGGTAGTTTCATCGGGGACCGGAGGCAGAGGGTTCAGGTCAGGCCATGGGGGGCAACTCACAGGCTCTGGCTGATGTCACCTCTGTGTGTGGCCTGAGACCACAGGGGTCTTTCAGGACAAGGCTGTGCCATGCTTCCACCTGCCCCGTGGAAACCAACTCATCCCATGCCTCCTTGTATCCACTGTCAACTCTAGCCCAGATAAGAAGTGTCACTGTGGAAGACTTGTGTCTGGGCGCCCTTTGGGACAGTTGGCAGGGCTCGGACCAGGGAGGACGCAGGAAGCGTTTCGGGACTTGTTTGTGCAAGAAGCTATTTTAATCACCTCTGCCTGGGCTGGGAGTTGAACAAGGTTGGTCTCAGAAATGGTGCCATCAGGGAGAGATGGGGAGGATTCCCAGCAGTGAGGGCTGCCCATGCCCAGAGCTGGGATCCCACTCCGGGCAGAAAAGGAGAGCTGCAAACCAAACTCTTCCCTGGTGTTGGTGTCAGCCCAAGTCTCCTTGGCTGCAGTCTGTGCCCATCACCTCTCATCCTACTGCCTGTGGACACAGCTGAGGAATTAATTCCTTCCTCTTCTCAGCAGCCTTTTGCATGCTTGATAGTGTTTTATCACATCCCAAGTGTATTTTATCACATCCCGAGTGATGCCGCATGCTGCTGCAGCCTTGCCAGCCCTGCCTCTCTCCTTCCCCCTACACAGCCCAGCGAGGCTGTGCAGCCAGGAGTGGAAGAGTTAAAAAAAAAAAATTAAATAAGAAAACTGAAATTGTTGGTGATCATGAATTTTGGCAAGCAGAAAAAAAATTGCAAATTCTTTAGTGTCATGAGGGTGCTTAAAATAAAAGAGCTGTAATGAGACGAGATCCTGTAGCATGTGTGAGCTGAATTGTGCTAGATTGGTTATTCTCATCCTGCATATGATTGCTGATGGCTGCTGCAAGGCGAGGGACGTGGGTTTGGAGTGGTTTTCTTTCTGTTTAGTCTCTCTTCTCCCTCGCGCCCTCCCCCTGCTTCCCGGTGGTACAAAGGGTGCCCGGGAGCACGTCCCCTCCTGCAGAAGGGCTGGTGGCAACAGATGTGCCTTGATGACAGGGTGCAGGCAGATCGCCCGCGTCTGCCACACAGCGCTTGGCTGATTCTGAATGTCACCCCCGGATTTCTCCTGTCAAACGGAGCTGCAGCGCAGGCTCAGGCACGGACCCCCTCTTGTTTCCCCACACACAGCCCCAAACACTTTGTGGATTGAGTGGGTGCTGATTGCGGAAACCAACAGTGGGTGTGAAGTTGTAATAATCCCATTTTATTAATTACTGGTTTTGCCGAGGAGGAGTTTTGTTCCTGATTGTCCACGATGGAGTGAATATTTTTAACTTCTCCGTTTTCTCTGATTGTACAACCACCTTCTCTGCCCACGGAGACGAGGATCAGGGCACTGCTGATCCTTAGCAGGGGCAGCCTGGCTAGGCACGATGGGCAGGGGCGTTTATCTTTCCAAGCTGACATTCCGTTGGGAGCGCGTTACATAAACACGAGGCGTTCAGCTGGATCAGAAGCTGCTGAATTCACAGCTCGCTGCACATGATGGGTGCCCAGCGCCTGGGGTGGGCAGGATGCTGCCTGGCACGGGCAGGGCTGTGCTTGCAGGGTGGGCAGTAGCTCAGGACAAGTGTCCCCTGTTTGTTTGCAGAGAACCTGCTCCAGGTTCAGATGGGGGGTAGTCAGTGGTCTCTCCTCACTCTAGCTCTTGCTCCATCAGTCCTGTATGGGACTTCCCACCATCTCTCCCAGGTCTTCTGCACGCTTCCCACCGTTTCAGAGGAATCATTCTCAGCTTTGCTTCTCCTTCATTTTCCCTGATTTTCTCACCCAGGGAGTGTCTCGGCAAATGTTAAGGCTGGCCAAGATCCCAAACAGTAGGTGTCTAGCAAAAATCAAAACAAACAAGGAAAAAAGAAAATTAAATTCCTCAGACCCAGAGGGCCAAGTTCAGGGGAATTGCAGCTGCTCCCACCAGTGCTGTGCTGGCTCTGGGCTGTGCCACTGCCTATGTGGTGTCCCCACCAGGGAGGGAGGGAGCAGGGCACAACAGGGTGGATGCTCCTACCCGAGCAGGAGGCACAGATCTGGAGTCTGAGGCAGGCAGGGAGGGGAGAAAACACCAGCTGAATTTCCTGGAAATCAACCCCGTGCGATGTTTCTGGCACCGCGGAGTGGTGGCTGATGCTGGGATGGGATCTGACCTCTCAGCAACGCACACAAACAGCAGTAAACACTCTCCCCTGACCCATGCCAACTTTGCATGCTCCTGACAGTGTCTCTCGGTGTTCCCTTTGCCAGGTGGAGTTGCTGCTTCTCAGTGTCCCAGAGAAGACAGCAGGAGTTCGGGAGCTTCCCATGAGACCACAGGAACCAAACGGACTTACGATATGATGGAGGGGAGGATCAGCAGGGGCTTATCAGCCCGTGATACCTTATCTGCCAGCACTGAAGGTGGGTGTGGGTGAAACCTTCCACCTGTGCTGTGTTAGTGACCCACAGAGACCCCATCTTGTCTCTTGTCTACATGATGCACTTTCCTGTACTGGTATTTTGGCAGTGGTTAGCTGGAACCCTGCAGCAGAGCCCAACAGGACAGCATCAGGCCAGCGTGAGAGAACAAGGGACACAGTTTGGCCCATTTGCCTTTGGTGACTGTCCTGGCAGACCAGTTTTAGAAATATAAAAACAAAAGGAAGCACATTTTTTAAAATGAGAAATAAGTAATTTAGAAATTGTTGATTTTTTCATTGCTGTCCCAGGAGTCCCTGGTAACACGAAGTAATTTAGAAGTTGTTGATTTTTTCGTTGCTGTCCCAGGAGTCCCTGGTAACACTGTCATGTATTTATTGTAAATGATCTGCTGTGTCACAACCCAACGTTCCCTCTTGGGTCTCTTCTAGGTCTCATGGGTCGAGCGATCCCTCCAGACCGACACAGTCCCCATAACCTAAAGGAGCAACATCACATGCGAGGCTCTATTACACAAGGTAAAGCCTGCAGGGGAGATGGGCATGGACAGAGGTCACGTGGGGAAGCAGCACACATGCATCGTCCCTTGTTCTGGGTGTCAGGGTAGGACAGGAGGAAACAAGGATGGACACATCAAGGTCCAGCTGCAGATCTCTGCAGCCCCTGCTATGTGCTCAGAGAGATTTTCAGTCTTGCTCAGCTTCTACCAACCCGAGCTCTGCCAAAATCAGGGATAAAATTGTCAGGGCCTTGCAGGAAGGCAGGTTGAAATTAGTGTGAAATGAATGCAGAAAGTGGTGGTGGATGCCAGGGGGACTAGCTGCATTACTGATACAGCCGCTCAGTATGCTCGGTTGGGAACCAGTCCCTGAGTTACATGCAGTAACTGGAGACCCCCTTGAAGTGAGCATCCACATGGGGTCTGGGTGTCCATTGTCTGGCTGGGGAATCTGCCTCTGCATCCATCATCTGCTTGGGGGTTGCAGGAATACCTCGGTCCTATGTGGAGGCCCATGAGGACTACCTCAGAAGAGAAGCCAAACAGCTCAAGAGGGAAAACACTCCACCGAGGGACTTATCTGATGCCTACAAGGTCAGGTCTCACGAGGGCCTTACTCCTCTGAAAATGAAACCAGCCCATGAAGACCTGGTAGCCACAGTGAAAGAAGGAGGAAGATCAATCCATGAGATTCCCCGGGAGGAGCTAAGACGAACACCAGACATCTCTCTGACGAGACCTCTGAAGGAAGGCTCCATCACGCAGGTGAGTACAGGGTGAACAGCAGATGTGATCAGTCCTGCTCAGGCTGCTGTCCTTGCACAGATCCTGGGGACCATTCCCAAGGTAAACGGAGAGCAGAGACAGCTTGCGTTGCGCCACTGGTCAGAACTGAGGTTCTGTTTGGGTATGGGTTGTCCTGCCCCATCCTTTGATGGGGTCCCTTCCAATATGAACCATCCTGTGGTCCTTCTCTGCAGATAAATACAAAACCTAGGGAACCTCTTAGGTTAAGAAAGGAATGCTCTGTCTACGTGTGTAAATGGAAGGGGATGCATTTGCCTCTTGTTCAAGGCCATAGTCAACTCTCTGCCTTCGGCAGTTGTGACTCTGGGTGCACATAAACTTGGTCTCCTCCCTTCATGGGCAAGTGGCAGCCCAGCAGGGCCAGTAGCTAGGAAGAAACACACAGCATGCTGTCTCCCGTTGGGCTCCAAATATTTGGAGGGTTCCCATGACACCTTGTAGTCCTACCCCATTCCACAGTGTGTGTAGGAGAGAGGCGTGATGGGCACAGCCAGCCTTCAGCAGTGACTCATCATCATCTTGTTGGAGCACAACAAGACACGCAAGATGGGCACTCCACCCTGCCCCATGCCGTGCCGAGCGGTTATCTCTGCTTTGCCGATGGCTGTTGCCGTTTGACCGAGGAAACTTGGTGTATTCTCCCAACGAACAAGGAATCACAAGTCTTGCTGAAATTTGGTGGGATGTGGTCGCTGCGTCCCCTTCTGCTCTACGCTCCTCTGATATCCCCTCTGCCTCCTGTCCCCAGGGTACCCCACTGAAGTATGACAGCGGCTCTTCCTCCTCAAGTACTAAAAAGCATGACGTGCGGTCCATCATTGGCAGTCCCAGCGGAACTTTTCACTCTGTGCACTCGCTGGATGTCATCCAAGACCCGAGGAATCTGGAGAGAGCTTACGAAGAGAGCCCGAAAAACAGGCCAAGCCCAGTGACAAACTCAGGTGGCTCCATCGCCAGAGTGGCTCCTGTGATTGTACCCGAGCCAGGCAAGCCCCACCAAAGTGCCCTTGGCTATGAGGACCACCAAGCAGGGCACAGCACAGCGTTTGGCAGCCACTTACACAGAGGGTCTCCAGTCCCCACGCGGGAGTCCACGCCGCGGCAGCACGAAGGTACTTGGCAAACCTTTTCTTTGATGCTGAGATTTCTAGCAACCAGGCAGGCGAGGTGTGCGGGAGGTGGCTGCTGACCCCACCTGCCCGAGCTGTTCCCAGCAGGTGCCTGTTGAACCCGTTCTTCCCGGCACTCTACACCCACAGCTTACTCATGGCACTGGGGCGACTGCCAGGTACAGCTGAGGCTCAGCTCCCTTCCTGGGGATGCTCACATGGTTGAAGTGAGGGCACTTCACCTGTGCCAGGTTACCTAAAGGGAGTCTTGAGCCATGGCTGGTGAAGCTGTTGGTATTTCGAAAGTCTTTTCCCAGTATTGGCCCAGGGCACCCCGTTTTCCCGCAGGCAGGCAGGAAAGCAGTGCTTGAGGCACTGTGTGGGAAATCTTCATACTTTTAACCAACCTGATGTGTGTTTGCCCACTTTGTGTGTTTGTGACCTATCCATCTCCTGGGCACCTGAGTGCCTCACCTCCAGAACATCTATTCCCTTCTGAGTTGGTGGATCTGGGCAGTGCAGCTGGTTCCACCTCTGGCTCTTCCTGCAGGCCAGGATGAACACACAGACCACCCGGCATGGATGTGCTGAGATGATTTGGGACAGGCCTCTCCTCCCAGGGGCAAATGGGGCTTGGCCTGCTTTGACCTTGGTGGCGTAATAGGGCATGGCAGTGCAGGGAGGAGGGAAAGGTCCCTCCAGTTCAGGGTAGCTATGAGCATCCCTGGGGGACACGCTTGGCCACAGGCATCCCTCGGGGACATGGCTTGGCTGCAGCACTCAGTCTCTGACTCATTTCCTTCTGCTCACTGCAGGCAGCATCACTGCCGGGAAGCCGGTGTCCCAGGACAGAAAGATCACCCCCACATCCAGAGAGCTCACCAACTCCAAGTCTCCCCACGCCCCCGTAGCTGGCCACCACCACCCCATCTCCCCGTACGAGCACCTGCTCCGCGGCGTCAGCGGCGTTGACCTGTACCGAGGACACATCCCGCTGCCTTTCGACCCCGCCGCCATCCCGAGGGGAATCCAACTGGAAGCAGGTATCTTCATCAGGGACACGGTCTGTTTGGGACTGGTTCTTTCCTTGCTATGCACTGAAAGCCTGAGGTGTCTAGGGAAAGCCACTTGACATCTGCATCCTTTTCTCTCCCAGCTGCTGCTTACTACCTGCCAAGGCATCTGGCTCCGAGCCCCACGTACCCCCACCTGTACCCCCCATACCTCATCCGGGGCTACCCGGACACGGCTGCCATGGAGAACCGACAGACCATCATCAACGACTACATCACGTCCCAGCAGATGCACCACAACGCTGCGGCCACGGCCATGGCGCAGCGCGCCGACATGCTGCGTGGACTGTCGCCCCGGGAACCCTCCCTCGCCCTCAACTATGCAGCAGGTCCTCCCAGCATGGCACTCTCCAGGGGTTTGGGGGCAGTTTGGGAGAAGGAGACTGAGGGAGGCTGACGCTGCCAGTTGCACCATGGCCAAAGTGCAGCAGCTCAGCATCGTCCTGACAGCCCTCTCACTTCTCTCTCCAGGCATCATCGACCTGTCCCAAGTGCCACACCTGCCTGTCCTCGTGCCCCCTACCCCTGGCACCTCTGCCACCACCATGGACCGCATTACCTACATCCCTGGACCCCCCCAGACCTTCGGCAGCCGGCACAGCTCTCCCCAGGTAACACTGCAGGTTGCTTTTCCCATGGAAATACGGCTGAGCAGGACACCCTTAACCAATCCAGGGCCGTAGGCTGAGTGTGCCAGAGCAGATGGGGAGACCCCAAATTAATCCACACTCAGGGGCGCACCTACTCCTTCAAACCAGCCCCTCCAGTCCTGCTTGTCCAGGGCTTCCTTGCTTTTCCTCTTTCTTCCCCAAAGTGTCATCTAGCAAACTTTGTGGAAGGTCATACCCCAGAGATGGCGCCAGGACAGCTATTCCATGATTTGTCTGGGTTTTGTCATGCTGGTTGGCCTCGTCTGCTCTGCTCCAGGTGACCTTGGATGGAGCCATTCCTTATCTGCTCTGCAGACGCAGTGATGTGAAGATCAGACAGCGTTCCCGGGGAAATTGCTGTGTCTGCAGCCCTCTCACTGCCTTTTGGTTGGGTTTCAGGAGGCCCCACACACATGACCAAACAGTCGGGATCATCAGTGTCTGAACGGGAACGGGAACGAGAGCGGGAACGGGAGAGGGAGCGTGAAAAATCCATCCTAGCGTCCACCACAGTGGAGCATGCACCTATCTGGAGACCAGGTAGGCTGGGGAGGAGCCTGGCATCACACCTTGGGGTCTGTGCTGGGTGGAGGTAAGTTTGGGGCTATAGGGCAGAGAGCTAAAGAAGCCCTTCCTTGTGTGCTCCCCCAGGTACAGAGCAGTCCAGCAGCCATTCGTCCTCCCACTCTCACAGCCACCAGCACTCTCCCGTCTCACCCCGCACCCACGAGACCATCCAGCAGCGCCCCAGCGTGCTCCACAACACGAACATGAAGATCATCTCTTCAGAGACCCCCACCCCTTCCGTCCTGCGGTATGTCCCATCACTTTCCTGGACACCTGCACCGGCACGGCCATGGCAGTTAATTAATGAGCACCTCTGAGGTGGAGTGAGGGTTGTAGCACGGCCATGGCAGTTAATTAACAAGCACCTCTGAGGTGGAGTGAGGGTTGTTTTGGACTTTAGTCTCAGCAGGAGCAGGATTGGGCCTTCCAAGGAAGTTGTGATGGGGAGAGGCAGATTTTGGTGCCCAATTCCTTGAGTTCTCCTAGTGGCTTTTCCTCCTACTGGGAAAGAAAGCAAGATTGTGCCTGTGCCCAAATACAGGTATCACTCCTCTTGCTGAATGTTGCCTGGTGGAGCTGTAAAGGTCTTTGGGACCTGTCCACGGGTTTTATGCCCTCCAGTCAATGCATCCAGACCCTAAAGCCCGTGGCTAGTTACTGTGGTGGAGGCTCCATCTGAACCCTCCTCACTGGCCCCAGGATGGGCCAACCCTGTGCTCAGGAGCCCTGAAAGACCCTCAGCCAGACAGGGCTGGACACTGAGGCTCTGCTAACAAACAGCATTCCCTTTCCTCATGTGCTTCTCTCATCTTGGCCTCATCTTTTTTTTTCTTCCAGATCCTCCTCCACCGCTACCACGTCACCGATCTGCTCTGCCGCCTTCCCCTCATCCTCCACCCTGCGCTCCTCCCTCAGCGTGGCCGACGGCTACGCGGCCCCGCTGGACCCAGCCATCCTGCAGAAAGAGGCCTCGAGGGTGCGGGAAGCCAGGTCAGAACGAGCCCAGACTGACAACAACGTCTACACCTCAAAGCTGCCCAGTGGGGCCAACCTTGAACAGTCACCTTCGCCCATTAAAGCCATGGAGTCGAGATCTTTGCCCACCTCCGGACCTGGTTCTTCTCATCACTATGGCAGAGGACAGGGGAAAAGCCAGCAGCACCATCACACTCTGGACCAGCAGCACGCAGCCTCAGGCTCCGAGCAGCACAGTAGAGAAAAGAGTCAAAATAAACGCTTTTCCATGCAGGAGCAGGAGCTCCGAGCACTCGGTAAGACCACCACGACAGCGGCCAACTTCATAGATGTGATTATCATGCGCCAAATGTCTCGCGATAAGGGGCAGCGAGAAAGAGGCTCGCTGAGTAACGACTCTGCCAGCGATGGTAAGAAATCAGAGGGGAGAGGTGAGACAGCTGTGGCCTGACACCCGTTTTATTTCATTATTCCCTATTTTTAGTTGCACATTTTGGCTATCGGCTTCGTCAGCTCCCCGAGTGTGGTTATCCCTCTGCTTCCCGGTCGTTGTGTTATTCCAGGTGTTTTTATTTGTGTGCAGTTTTAAGGATCTTCCCTTCTCCCACCCTTTTTGAGTTTTTCCTGTTGCCAAGTCCTGTTTTGCAAACCTTGTGCAGTTCCTGGTATTGCTTTCTACAGACAATAGCCATTGGCTAATTTCGATTTCCCCATCCTTGGAAATTCCCAGGCAGTCTGTAAGGAACAGTTGTGGGTAACAAATCAAACGAGCAAAGCGGAGAACTGGGGTTGTGAGTGTGACAGGGCTGCTGGCCATGAGACATAGACCTCCCTGCTCGTGAGCTCCAGGACCTCAGAGGGCTTTGTGTGTCTCAGCTTGGATGGGATCTTCACTTGGGGTGACCTCGCTCAGGGTCCTGGTGTTGGATGCTGCCCAGAACGGCACCATGGACATGGCTGTCCTGGGATCACTCGGCCCAGCCATGTTCAGCAGCTGTTTTCAGAGCAGACCACAGGAACCATCTAATAGGAGTCTTGTGCAGGACACAAAAGCTCTGGGGTTAGTTATTGCAAAAGAAAATGCAGGGAGGGGGCTGGATTAAAGGTCTGAGTCATTCTTGATGGGACCAGCCTTCACCCAGAGCATTCATCCAGGCTCCCACCGGTATGCAGAAGCTTTCTAAAGCACTTGGAAACCTGTTGTGAAGCCACCTCCATTCCCACCAGGAATCACTGCCCCTCTGGGCATTGCTGTCCCTCTGGACATAGGAAGAGTTTCAGTGGGAGGGGAAAGGGGGGAAAAAAGTTCTGAACCCACAGGATTTGGACTTGGTCCTTGAGTCTCATGTGTCACCATGAACTGCTGAGTGTCCAGCTCTGCAGGAATGAGGCATCAGCTCTTCACTTCAGCCATCACCACAACTGGACCTCGGAGGTGGTTCTGGGGGTCCCTGTAGTGTGACCTGCCAGGTCTTCCCTCATCTCTTTTTCCCACCTTTGCTGAACATGTGACTACTCACAAGTGATGGTGCCACAGCACTAGGGAAAAGCTAAGTGGTTCTAACTCCTTTCTCCCATTTCCTCAGGCTTTCATGGAGGCTACAGTCCTGAGCAGATGGAAGCAGTGAGTCCCATGAGCTCACCCAGCCTGTCCCATGAGAAAGGGGCCAAGCTCCTGCAGGATGCAGAGAAGGGGCACGGAGAGCATGACCTGAGGCAGAAACAGCAAGGTGAGGGCAGGGGCTGGCACTGCCAGCTGGCATGGGACAGCCTGAGCTGGCATGGGGGGTCTCATCAGCCAACTCCCTGCTCCAGGATGAATCCTGGGATGGCATTCAGGGAAGGGGACACAGACATCATCTCATGCCTGCTCTCTTCTTTGCCTCCCCCAGGCTCCCTGAAGTCCTTGGCTCCCGAAGCTGCCCACCTGCAGCACCTGAGGCAGCCTGATGGCCCCCAGTGCCAGCCCCTACAGTCCAGCCAGAGCATCAAGGGCACGAACCAGCGAGTGGTCACGTTGGCCCAGCACATCAGTGTAACTAACTTCATTCACCTTCCTCATGGGGCTGTGGGGAGGAGGGAGGAGCTGAATGAGACCCGTCAGGTGGAGTCGGGCTGGGAGTGATGCTGGAGACCTCAACCCTGGTTGAGGTCTGGAGAGCAGGGGGCCTCAGGTGCATTCAGCCTGGGTGTTTGTGTCCCCAACAAGCCTGTCACGAGAGCTGAAGTTACATCTGCAGGGACAAACCAGCCTAATTCCCTCCTGCTGGCCCTCCTAATCAATCCCAGCAAAGCAAAGGTAGAAACCAACTGTTTCTGACTCACGGGTTTCTTCTGCAGGAGGTCATCACGCAGGACTACACACGCCATCACCCGCAGCAGCTCAACTCCCACATCCAGACCCCAGTGTACTCCTTCCCCGGGGCGGCGTGTCCGGTGCTGGACCTGCGCCGCACCCCCAGCGAGGCCTATCCGCAGCAGCAGGAGCACACAGCAGCCTCACGCATCTCCCCACAGAACGAGGGGGGAAAAAGGTGAGGTCAGAGAGTCCAAGCTGGCATAGGTGGGTTTGTACCACTCTGAGTTCAGACAGACCAGGACTGCCCAGGGTGAGGAGCCTAGTGGGTGGGTGCCCTTGGCTGTCTGGCAGCCCAGTAAGGGGGTGCATGGGCCAGGCTGGCGTTTGGCATTGTTGAATTTACGCTCCCTGGCGTGGTGCTCTGTGAATTCCCTGCTTACACAGCCCAGAGTGTAAAACTGCGTTCTGGTCTGGGCATCTTTTCCCTGTTGCCATCACTGTCATCCTAGAGATGCTCTTTAACACCCACTTGGAGTCTGTGTGTGATCCCCTTCCCAATCTAGTTGGTGTCACAAGACAGTTCAGGTGGGAAGGAATCTCTCAAGATCATCCAGCCCAGCACCCTCCACTTGAGCAGGTTGTCCTGAGTCATGGCCAGTTGGTTTCTGAATATCTCCACTGATGGAGACTTAAACACCTCTCTGGCCAACCTGCCACAGGATTTGAGCACCCTCACAGAAAGGAAGTGTTTCCTTGTGGGATGGAATTTCATGTGTTTTGTTTGTGCCTGTTGCTTCTTGTCCTGTCACACTTCCCTGTCCACAGATGGTTCCAGAGAACCCACAGCAAGGTTTTCCATTGGTTCAGAGTTAATTTTATCTTCATCCTTCTCAGTGAGTCAGAAGTTTGTTAGACACATGTGCTGTGTCAACTGCAACTGTCCATCTCAGGCACCCTCTGTATTTGTTTTAAAGTCACTTTCAAATCCCTGTGCTGCTTCAAGGCAGGTCTGATTGCTGTCATACAGAATTAAAACATGGGTCTGCCCTCCCACCCAAACACCCACAGGGACCCAGATGCATCCAGGAATGAGTGGTGCCTCCTAACTGATGGTTCCTTGTCAGTAAATGGGATTGTGTTTCACAGCTCTGCCTGTCCTAGAGTTGGCTTTATAACATGAAGGGAGGGAGCCCAGCCCTGACCACCCAGTGGGGGGAAAAATGGGGAAAAAAAAGAGAAACCACAGAAAGAACAAAGACATAAATTTCCAGAACTCGCTGTGAAGAATTCCTCACAGACACAAGCCTGGCTGTTTCCCAGGCTCTGGCCACAGACATCGGGGCCAGCATCAGCCCTCTCCAGGCTGCCCCAGCTCCAGATCCCCTCCCAGGCCAGCCAGTCCCTGTGTGGCCCTGGACAGGGAGGGTGGGAGGTGCTGCCTCTGCTGTGTTCACAGATATGGAGTATCAAATGCCATGTCCCCAAAGGGTTAATGTCACAGCCCTCCATGGGCCTCTCTGCCAGCCAAGGGCACAGGCTGAGCCAGCAGGTCCCAGGACTGCTCCCGTGTCCTGTCTTTGGGACAGCTCAGCTGGGAATGTGGCCACGGCTCAGCTCAGCCTGGCTCTGCACACCCAAGCTGTGCTCTCCCTCCAGCCTGCGTTGTCACCAGGAGCCCTCGGGGTGTGAAAGGTTTGGCTGTTCTCCCTGCTGCAGGAAAGTGATTTTAGTCATCCTCCCCCTCCTGACCCCGAGCTGCTGCACAGGATCAGAGGCTGCTGCAGTGAACTGATGACAGCTTCCCACTTCTCCGCAGGTCCCCGGAGCAGGGCAGAGCCGCGGCCGGTGGGACAGAGAGCTGTATCGAGCCAGTGTCTCCACCAGACGGCGTGGGAGAAGCAGAGCACGCCAAGAGCACCCCGTACCCCGTCCTGTTCCGCGAGGGAGAGCCCATGGACCAGAGGTACTGCCCGGGAGAAGGTGGTGGAGATGGGGATGGGGATGTGCCCCAGCCCAGGCTGCTTTCCTTGCTGCCAAAAGGAGTGTCCCATCACAGGCTGCTGTCTGTAAGGGCTTTTCAACACCATGGGGTACATTTATGGTTAGGGTAGGGAGAAGCTGGTGATCCCGAGTATCACAGGAGCTCCCAGGCTGAATCTGAGAAGTTACACTAAGGGAAGAGTCTTTCTAGGTAGGACTTTGTGCATTGGATGTTTCCAATGGTATTTTACTTTGCAGAATGGGGTCCAAGTCCCCAGGAAACAACACTCAGCCTCCAGCTTTCTTCAGCAAGCTGACTGAGAGCAACTCTGCCATGGTGAAGTCCAAGAAACAGGAGATCATCAAGAAGCTCAGCACGACCAACAAAAACGAGACGGAGTACAGTAAGGACCTGTGGGGAGATGAATGCAGGGCACCAAGGGGGGAATAACCTCGAGGACACATGAAGCAGAGGAGATTTGGGAATGGAAGCTGCTGTGTTAAGGTCTGGGAGCTCCCAGGCAGCTTCATCTGCGTCGTGCCCTCATTTGTTGGGAAGTGCAAGGTCCAAATGCTTCCTGAGATGTTCTGTGCTGGTGCCAGCCATGGCTGTGTGCATCCTGGGAGGCAATAGGAAGCTTCCCACCCCACATCTCCTTCTCTGGGCCTGTCAATCCCACTCACACCAGATAACCTCAATAGGAAGGAAATAATGAGCTGAGCATGAAGGAGACTTAAGAGCAATTGATATTTTAATGAATGGCCAGCCAAGCTGAATCCTTCCTCCTTGGGATGCATCTCCCCCCAACATTACTTTAAGCCCTACATCAATATTGGTGCAGCTCTGTAAAACTAACCAGGCTGGCTTAGATTAGAAATTCAGCCTGTTCATTCATTAACCGCTAATAGAGTAGATAGGATCATAATTTAATTTAGCCCAGCATTATACAGTCAATACTAATTCAGTTTGAATCCATCTTACAACAGCTGCATCGGATAAGAGGGACCGAGCTGTCTCGTCTCTTGGATGATGTTACCATGAGCCAAGAGTATTGTTATGCCCCTTTGGGGACATGTGGCCAAACCCCGTGACCTTCCACACTTTCCCTTATCAAGGGAAAATATATAGAAATAGGATACTCCTCATATTTGATGAGAATTTCTGTTATTCTAAAGAAAGTGATATCCAAGTCAAACAGTTCAGCTAAGAGGGAAAATATTGATTTAACATTTCTTCTCCTCCTCCTCACCCTCTCCACTGCCCAGACCTGCTCCCTGGATGGAGGCTTGAGCCTTTGGAAATCCCACAGGCAGGAGAGAGGACTTGGCTTCACCGAGTTTGTAAACACAAGGGCTGGAGGGAGGGAGGGAGGTCAGCTGTGAGCACAGACAGTGCCCTGGCTCTCTGGGCTGCTCTGCCCTTTCCCACCTGGTAAAAGTGCCCACTGTGGATCCCCCAAAGGTATTGGGACTTACTCCTGGTCCCAGCCAGCACTCCCAGACTGCCCCCAGTGCCTGGAGGAGGTGGGCTGCTCTCGGGCTGGGTGCCACGACAGGGACACAGGGATCTTGTCGTGGCTGGCACGGTAGGTCCTGCACTGCCCCCAGCCTGCATGGCCAGCTCTCCATACTGAAGAGCTCCTTTGTTTTTCTCCAGATGTTGGGCAGCCTGGGACAGAGATTTTCAACATGCCGGCGACTACTGGAGCAGGTAACTCCCTGACATACCTGTACCTCATTCCCCACAGGGCTTACAGCCATGGACAGCAGGAGACTTAGTAGATTTAAGCATCCCCTTTTTGCCTTTTCTCCTAAGACCAAGCATAACAGTTGCTGGGACGTGGAAGCCTTGGGACTCATCCTAACTCCCTGCTGTTGGGTTGGAGTCAGGGCTAACTCCTGGCAGAGCTTGAGGAGGAGTTAAAAGTCAAGCAAGGGTTGGCCATCTGATGCTAACAGAGCGTTAAACCATAGCAAGATGGACCTCATGACAGGGAGAGAGCAGCCTGCTCTTGGTGGGACCTTGTGGTCACCTAGGGGTGGGTAGGAGAGCAGAAGTGAAGGGGAGTGGGAGGGTGGGACGCAGGGTCTGTGCTACTGTGGTCTGGGCAGGAGGCGGGAGCCAGTTGCAACAACAAACTGGAGGAAGAGCAGCACTTGGTGTTGGGCAAACTGGCAATGGCTGAGGACCGAGAAGGTGTTACCTGGGAGGTGGAGGGGTGCTCAGATACACGACCAGCCCAAGGGGGAACAACAGCAGGAAGGCTGTCTCTGTTGCTGCCTGTGTCGTGTCCAGGTGGGCTCACAAATGGATGAAGTGATTTCCCATCGAGGAGCACTAATTGGTACTTAATTGATTAAGAA